TCACGTGACCTGTACTATAGTTCTTCCGTTCCGAGTGAGTCCCTGTTGTTCCCGTGATCCTGCAGTACAAATGTCCTGTCCTAGCCGCCCGACGCCCAAGTGGGTCGGTTAACTGTTATCCATGCATAACGGGTCGTAACATGAACGATGCTCAATAAGTTGATATAGGTCATTTATAGAACTCAGACTCTCTCTTCAAAGTAATCATATTGCTTTACGAACTACTTCATCAATTCACGTTTATTATTTTTTTAATAGACTGCATTATAGTTTACTGCTATATATCAAGGTATAATGTTAAGCCTTTGTTGTTGTAGATTATCTGCGCTCTGATACCACCGTTTAAGGATGAAAACGCTTCTCGGAATAGTCTTAAATCATGTAAGTTTACCAAAGCACAAATAATGGACCAAGAGAAAACGGTCCTATACAAACGTCTAGTTCCTGCTCTCTGATTTTGTTCTATCCAATGGCATATCATCAGGCTGGACTTTCTATCTTTCCGCTCACTACCCCATCTTTGTAAGGCCAAGCTTTGTCGAAATCGACTCCTACAGCATTTGGATTGAGACGGTTGAAAATTCAGCATAGGGAAAGTCCCACGCTCACCCAGAACCCGTGGTACATGCTCTAAACTATCTGACCCGGGACGGATTGTACGTCATCATCGAATCTCTTACTGAAAATATACCCATGTTTGCAACAGGATTAAAGCCCAGAGTCTGGATTGAAGGCAACCAGACCACCTTTACGCCGCTGTCTCGTAGCTTTCCAGGCCATTAAATGCGTCGCGATTGGCTGAAATATGAGCGAACTTGGGTGGCAACGCCGCAAAACAAGGCACAACAAACATCGTGTAAGGCCATTGCGGCAGCACCACAAGGTCATTTCTAGAAAAGTAGTGGGAATTCTTCCTGATATTCCCAGATGATATCTTCGGCCTCTTGGTCAGAAAAATTAGAAGCACGTCTTTCTTTTGTCCGATTATCTAGATAAATGCGACATTGACCCACGTAATTCAGCCACTACCTAATGACAAAGTCACTAGCTATTTTGGGAAGGCCCATGACTGGCGTCGGCAGCCCACACCTCCCTGGCCGGCTCGTCGTAGGGGCCCGAATTGGACCGAGCGCCACGCCAGCGAAATGCCAAGATGACGATGTCTCAATGATCTCACAGAAAGTCATCCATGGAAGTAAGACAACTCGGGCTTCCTACAGCCGCACAGCCGTTCGCACACTTCGGACGTTGAAAATGTCCGGCGATGTCCATTTTCTGTGTGGGAGTCAGGGATTCGGCGGCCGCGGCCGGGGCTAATCGCCGATGCGTGTCGATCGGCGCGTGGACCGTCAGCACCAAATTCGCGGATGCTGTGTCTATGACGAAAGCATCACATTGCTTTTACCCAGATGAGGCTCCTTGATTAAAAATTCCATAGGTCCACCAGGCACCATCTCTGGAGAACTAACGCAGAACTGACGCGACCGACCAATCCACTAGTTGCAGGCTGTACGTCGTCATAGATTTTATTCGGCCGACCCGATGCAAAAACTGATTGTACTTCTTGCACCTTCGACGTGTTGTTCGCGTCGACAATGGCCCAGAAGCTCTAGAACCTAGTAGTCTGGCATGTGGTTCACAGGGAAACAAATATGACTATTCCATAACCGCGCCCTTTATTCATGCGCCCCGTCTCCCGTGCTAATATTTACTGAAGATCATCGAATTTGTTCCGACGCGACCAATTTTACCGCCACGGTAACATTTTCCACCGATCTAGAAGTCTTGTGAAGCCATCGTCGACCGCCGTCATGGAGGAGAAACCCACACCGCGAGACAGTGACATCCCTGGGGGTTTCCCTGAGACGCCTAGTGTTGCATTGGCGAGTAGTTGTGCTGCCTGCTCTCCAACAGGACCTTCTAGCCAAGAGGGAGAAGACTTTCATGTTGAACCTTCCCAAGCTCATGGTTGCGTCAAATGCACAGCATCAGCAGTTGATAGGCGCATGTCTTCCGACGTCCGCCAGCCAGGCCCTCAGTCGACGCGACAAAGCTCCACGTCGTACTTTAACATTGGCACGACTTCGTCAACAGCGCACCGCAACTCTTCGTCCACTACCGTCATCGCGGGCCATAGCAACTACAACGACAACAACAATCACGATCACGATGGCAACTCTGCTGCTGCAAACGACCGAAATGAGACGTCTGCAGCCATGGCAGAAGTCTCCCGGGGGCAACAAGAAGTTGACAAATCGGGCGCTTCTTCCAATTACTCAAACGAACTCGATGTCGAAAGCACCCAATTTGCGCCTCTTAAGACCAACACGAGCACCATCGAGAGGCAGAGGCCCCAGGCGAAACGACAAGGTACTACGATGACAGAAGAAGACCTCTTCCGAGCCCTCTCTCGACGTCGTACGAATGCGACCAACCAGTCCGAAGCAGGTCAAGAGGAGGAGCAACAAGAGGTCGAACGTCTCATGTCTAGAATCTTTGGTCGTGCACGTCAAGAACAGAGTGAAGAGGAGAAGACGAGGCATAGTGGCGTCGTGTTTCGAAACCTCACTGTGAAGGGCGTCGGGCTGGGCGCAAGCCTCCAACCGACTGTTGGAGACATTTTCCTTGGCCTTCCCAGAAAGTTCAAGTTGCTCCTCACTCGCGGCCCCAAGGCTGCATTTGCTAAGCCTCCTGTCCGCGAGCTCATTAGCCGCTTCGATGGCTGCGTCCGGCCTGGCGAACTCTTGCTTGTTCTTGGGCGGCCGGGGTCAGGATGCAGCACTTTTCTGAAGGCTTTCTGCAATCAACGAGCTGGGTTTGAATCTGTCGAGGGCCACGTTACGTACGGTGGGATCGATGCTAGTGAGATGGCGAAGAGATTCAGGGGAGAAGTCATTTACAACCCGGAGGACGACCTGCATTATCCAACTCTGACCGTCAAGAGGACTTTGAAGTTTGCCCTTCAGACACGCACTCCGGGCAAGGAATCGAGACTTGAAGGCGAAACTCGACAAGACTACATCCGCGAGTTTATGCGAGTTGCCACGAAGCTTTTCTGGATAGAACACACTCTCGGCACCAAAGTTGGCAATGAGTTTGTTCGCGGCGTCTCGGGTGGCGAAAGAAAGCGCGTGAGCATCGCAGAGGCTATGGTTACGAGAGCATCCGTTCAGGGATGGGACAATTCGAGCAAGGGCCTTGACGCCAGCACCGCGGTCGAATATGTTCGCTCCATACGAGCCATGACCAATATGGCCGAGACATCGACTGCTGTTTCGCTTTACCAGGCTGGCGAGTCTCTATACGACCTCGTTGACAAGGTTTTACTTATCGACTCTGGCAAATGCCTATACTATGGACCAGCTGAGGCTGCGAAGAAATACTTCATCGACCTTGGCTTTGAATGTCCTGACCGCTGGACCACCGCAGATTTCCTTACATCTGTCACCGATGAACATGAGCGTCATATTCGCGAGGGTTGGGAAAACCGCATTCCTCGGACCCCCGAGGCATTCGACTCTGCGTACAGAAATAGCGAGGTTTACCGCAGGAACGTCCAAGACGTTGAGGATTTTGAGGGTCAACTTGAACAACAAATCGAGCAGCGCCGCCGGTATGAGTCCGAGAAGACAAAGACCAAAAACTATGAAATCCCATTTCATAAGCAGGTCGTCGCCTGCACAAAACGCCAATTCATGGTTATGGCCGGCGATCGAGCATCACTTTTCGGCAAATGGGGCGGTCTGGTGTTCCAGGGCCTCATCGTTGGCAGTCTGTTTTACAACCTCCCAAACACAGCCGCCGGAGCTTTTCCTCGTGGAGGCACCCTGTTCTTTCTCTTGCTCTTCAATGCTTTGCTTGCGCTCGCCGAGCAAACAGCCGCGTTTGAGTCGAAACCCATTCTTCTCAAGCATAAGTCGTTTTCATTCTACCGCCCTGGAGCCTTCGCCATCGCTCAGACCGTCGTCGATATCCCTCTGGTCTTTATCCAAGTTGTCCTGTTTAATGTCATTATCTACTGGATGGCCAACCTGGCGAGAACAGCCTCTCAGTTCTTCATCGCCACACTCATTCTTTGGCTGGTCACCATGGTGACGTACGCCTTCTTCCGGGCTATCTCAGCTTGGTGCAAGACCCTGGATGATGCCACCCGGTTTACAGGTGTGGCCGTTCAGATCCTCGTGGTTTACACGGGGTATTTGATCCCTCCTGACTCCATGCGTCCCTGGTTCGGATGGCTGCGATGGATTAACTGGATTCAATACGGCTTCGAGTGCCTGATGTCAAATGAGTTCTACAATCTCGAGCTTGAGTGCAGTGCACCTTACCTGGTTCCCCAGGGTCCCAATGCAACGCCTCAGTATCAAGGATGTGCGCTTGCTGGAAGCCCTCCCGGTCAGACAATTGTTCCGGGCTCCAGCTACATCGAAGCCTCCTTCACGTATACTCGCGCCCATCTTTGGCGTAATTTCGGTTTTCTCTGGGCTTTCTTCTTCGCTTTTGTCGTTCTTACTGCCCTGGGCATGGAACATATGAAGCCAAACACTGGTGGAGGCGCCATCACCGTTTTCAAAAGAGGGCAGGTCCCTAAGAAAATCGAAAACAGCATTGCCACAGGAGGTCGGGACAAGAAGAGAGACGTAGAATCTGGGCCGACAAGCAACTCGGAAATTATCGCGGACAACACCGTCACCAAGGAGAAGACTGAGGAAGACACTTTGGATCAGGTCGCGAGGAACGAGACAGTCTTCACCTTCCGCGATGTCAATTACACGATTCCGTGGGAGAAGGGTAGTCGCAACTTGCTTTCCGATGTCCAGGGTTATGTCCGTCCTGGAAAATTAACAGCCCTCATGGGCGCGTCAGGTTAGTGAGTCTCGGGCGCTCTAGATAGCTCAACTGACAACGTTTAGGTGCTGGCAAGACAACATTGTTGAATGCACTGGCTCAACGCCTCAAGTTTGGCACCGTGACGGGCGAATTTCTCGTTGATGGACGTCCTCTACCCAAGTCGTTCCAGAGGGCCACTGGTTTCGCGGAGCAGATGGACATCCATGAGCCAACCGCGACCGTCAGAGAAGCTCTTCAGTTTTCGGCCCTTCTTCGCCAGCCGCGAGAAATCTCCAAGAAAGAGAAATACGACTATTGCGAGACTATCATTGACCTTCTTGAGATGCGCGATATTGCTGGCGCAACTATCGGGAAAGTGGGAGAGGGTCTCAACGCCGAACAGCGAAAGAGACTTACGATCGGAGTTGAGCTGGCATCCAAACCCGAGCTGCTCATGTTTTTGGACGAACCTACTTCCGGTCTCGATTCAGGCGCCGCTTTCAACATCGTCCGGTTTTTACGCAAACTAGCTGATGCTGGCCAGGCCGTCCTTTGTACCATCCACCAACCGTCTGCTGTTTTATTTGAACACTTCGATGAGCTTCTCTTGCTCAAAGCCGGCGGTCGAGTTGTCTACCATGGCCCACTTGGTAACGACAGTCAGGAGCTCATCAATTATTTTGTGTCCAATGGTGCTCACGAGTGTCCCCCCAAAAGCAACCCTGCAGAGTACATGCTCGAAGCTATTGGTGCTGGAGATCCCAACTATCAAGGCAAGGATTGGAGCGATGTCTGGGCTCAGTCAAAGAACAGAGAGGCGCGGTCTCGGGAGATTGATGAGATGCTAGCCAAAAGGAGAGACGTCGAGCCTTCCAAGAATCTCAAGGACGACCGCGAGTATGCCATGCCGCTATCGACACAGACCATGGCCGTGGTGAAGCGGTCGTTTGTTGCGTACTGGCGCACCCCCAACTACATCGTCGGCAAGTTCATGCTACACATTCTCACCGGTCTGTTCAACTGCTTCACATTCTACAAGATCGGCTACGCATCTATCGACTATCAGAATCGACTGTTTTCGATCTTCATGACGCTCACCATCAGTCCTCCCCTCATTCAGCAACTTCAGCCAGTCTTCTTACATTCCCGTCAAATCTTTCAGTGGCGCGAGAATAACGCCAAGATATACAGCTGGTTTGCCTGGACAACTGCTGCCGTACTCGCCGAAATTCCTTACGCCATCGTTGCCGGAGGCATCTACTTCAACTGCTGGTGGTGGGGGGTGTTCGGCTGGCGCACTTCCGGCTTCACTTCCGGCTTTGCCTTCCTTCTCGTCATTTTATTTGAACTTTACTACGTCAGCTTCGGTCAGGGAATCGCCGCATTTGCACCCAATGAGTTGCTCGCATCTCTCCTTGTGCCCATCTTCTTCCTGTTCGTCGTCAGCTTCTGCGGTGTCGTTGTGCCACCGATGCAGCTCCCTACCTTTTGGCGCAGTTGGATGTGAGTTATACAGCCGGTGCAAAGGTTGCTAGAATCATGCTAACTATTCTCTAGGTACTGGCTTTCTCCGTTTCATTACCTCCTCGAAGCGTTCCTTGGCGCCGCCATTCATGACCAACCCGTTCAGTGCCAGCCTGGCGAATTTGCAAGATTCCAGCCACCTCCAAATCAGTCCTGCCAAGATTACGCCCAGTCCTACATTGCGCAAGCTGGTGGATATGTTCAGACTGGGGAAGGGGGCATCTGCGAGTTTTGTCAGTATGCTACCGGAGACGAGTTTGGCGCAGGCTTCAGCGTCTACTACAGTAACATCTGGCGGGACTTTGGTATCTTCTGCGGATTCATTGCATTCAACTATTTCATCGTCTTTGTTGGGACTTGGCTCAAGTTCAAAGGAAAGAACCCGCTCAAGTCGGTAATGGCGAAGACAAAAGTTGGGAAATAATTACGCCACGTTCGTTCGTCAAGTCAGCTTAAGTTCTAAAAAACATCAATCATAATAATATCTTGTATACTGTGCGCTTGGCTCTGCTCATGTCTTCGTCCCATCAGTCTCGTGCTCTCGATGAGAAAGTTCCACCACCGCCACTCATCACCCCCGCTTTTGTGCGAACAAGCGCCGTGCTAAATGAGAATCGTGAAGATCATAACGCTGTATCAATTGAATGGGAATCTATGAATGCCAAGATGGGTTGACTAAGTGAAGCTGTTGAAGGCGGTCTAATTCTTGAAAGCGCCGCCGGAAAGCTCGTCTTCCAGGTCGTAATAAACTTGGAATTCGCAATAGCAGATCTCAGGATCGCTCTCGACGTCGAAATTGAACTGCGCCTCCTCGTCGGTTACAAGGACCTTAGGCAGTCCATTGGCCGCAGCCGCCTCGGCGAGCAGCTGCACCCGACATTGGCGTTCCATGGAGGTGTAGAGGAACGCCGCCTCATCAACAGTTTGACCAACAGTCAACAGTCCATGGTTACGCAGGATGCATGCCTTGCCCTTGGGACCAAGGGCCTCCGCAATCATCTCTCCCTCCTCTGGGCCGAGAACGACGCCGCCATAGCTGTTGTAGACAGAGTGGGCATCACCACGGAACTTGCAGGCATCCTGGGTGAGCATCTCTAGACGGCGTCCAAAGACGGACCAAGCCTTGCCATACATGCTGTGGCAGTGACACACGGCGTGAACATCAGGACGGGCCTTGTGGACGGCAGCATGGATGAGGAATCCGGCCGTGTTGGGGGGCTTCGTGCGGTTGCCGCCGATGACGGCGCCGTCGAGATTGACAAGAATCATATCGCTCGCCTTGAGCAGACCGAAGTGCTTGCCAAGGGGGTTGGTCCAGAAGGCGTCGTGGATCTCGGGGTCTCGCACAGAGATGTGACCGCTCATACCCTCGACATAGCCCTCGCGGGACCAGTGGCGAAACGCGGCAGCCATGTGTTCAAGCTGCCACTGCCGTTGGGAGGCGAAGTCAGGGAACTTGGGGATACCGGCCAGGACAACATCGCCATGGGACATGGCCTGCAAAGGCGTCTTGTTCTGAAGCTCGTGGCCATGCTTGGAGTGCGATGCCTCCTTAGGTACGACGGCTGTACCGCCGACAGCGGGGGCGGTGTCGATAGTGGCGGACGGAGCCATGTTGAAAGTTTTCCAAAGAGACGCCGATATCCGGACTCGATGTCGTGCGTGGGTCAGAAGCGGCCTTCCAAGTGTGTTTCTGTCGTGAATATTTTGATCTCTGGTTGACGATGCTAGACGCCTGGCTTGTAAATGCTCGTCGGAACTGGAAGTAGGTGTCGAGGCAATATGTCGGTTTACACACTGGAATGCAGTCAAGGTTATGATCGGAGAAGGAGCGGGAACAGGCCGATTGATAACGCGCGACTTGCGATAGGCGTAAATGTCAGACAGCCATTCTGTACGGGGAAGTCTGGTCGGAGCGGGGTTGCGGGGGGCGAGATAAGGTACGACCGGGATCTCTTCTCCAGAGAGGACCGGAAACCGGATACCGGCCCGGTCCAATGTTCGGACGGCCGGCTAAGGGCCAGCTTGCGGCACCAGCGGGCTCGGAGACCAGACTTGCAGCCTGGCACCCGCAAGCATTCATTCTTCTCGTGAACATCAAGACTATCACCCAACACACTCTCCGCATCATGGCAGACGACACTGTAATGGACGAAGTAGAACGGTGGTATGATGAAACAAAACGTCGCGAGAGGGTATGTTACAATAGCGAGCCCATGCAAATTCCACCACCCGTCATTGAACCAAGGAATTCTCTTTAACAGTGACCGTCCTCGTCGTTATACGAATACTTTTGTTTACCCTTGCTGCGCAGCACACGGTTCCCCAACAACACGCCGCTCGCCGTCACTTTCCTGAAGAATCGAACTCGCCGCTGCGTTCGTGACTCGGGCAGAACATGTACCAAAAAACCCATTAGTTCGTCATTAAATAGCAGGCAACCTGCCGGTATTACTAGCAGTGCGAAACCCCCAGGTTAGGCCTTTCACCGCTTGGCCTGCAGAGCCTTGTCCAGGCATTGGATAATCTGGTCAAAGGTTAGTGAACGGGCGCAATATCAAGAAACGGTTGCTCAAGACATACATCGTCTCCCCAAACACCCTGGTTGCTGAGATAGCGGCCCATCCCCCTTACCAGCTCCAGCTGCTCTTCGACGGTCAAGCCGGTAACAGCCATTTCCATGACGCTGCCAAGACTGGCTTTATTGATGGCGATGAAAGAGTGGTAGTACATGTAAGTGAAGAACCCCATGATGAACTGGCAATCCATGCGATCAGTCATGCCGCCGTGGCCCGGGATAGAGTCGCCAAAGTCCTTGATCTTGAAGGTGCGCTTCAAGCCAGACGCGAAGAAGCCGCCGAAAGGAGCGATGAGCGAGGCGAATGTTGCCAGGACCAGGGTGTGGAACTGAACAGGGGCCATGGTCAAGGAGAGGCTCTCATTCATGTTGGGCGGGAGGAAGAAGAGCGGAGGCAGGCGGTAGGTCTTGAGGTTGAAAACAGGGTTACGGGTGCACTCGAGGCCAGTGAAGATGTTTGCGGCGAGATCCTAGGTAGGTCAGTGGCAGATCATTCCGGAGACGCAGCGATAGTATACTCACAGTAACCGGGCAGATGAAGAAGGAGGAGCGCATCAGGAGGTTGGTCAGGAGCATGCCAAAGACGATAGTCATGATCCAGGCGCCAACGAAGCCCTCGACGGTCTTCTTGGGCGACAGCTTGATCAGCTGGGTCCGGCCAAAGGTGATTCCCACCAGATACGCCCAAATGTCATTGGTAATGACCATGGCGGCTGGGAGGAAGAACCAGATCATGCCCTCGAAGACGTTGTTCATGATGAAGTGAGCCTGGACGACGATGAGGTACAGGGCCATGTGCGTCCATGCAAACTGGGTGAACTGGAATTTGTAGTGACCGGCCTGAAGAGATGTGACGAAGAAGACGAAACCTGAAGGAGTTAGGATCTAGGAGACGTCCAAGATGTAGGGGCGCGGGGCAAGTAGAACTTACCGAAGATGTAGAGAATGAAGCTGATGAAGCGGTGGTGGGTGGCCAGGGGAAGCAGGACCTTGTCGACCAGCACGATATGCTTGAAGTAGTAGATGACGGTTTCGCCGTATAGGAAGTACATGGTGGTGGCCAGCCAGTACCAGTTGAGGCTCTTTGAGGATCGCAGCTGACGTGCGCGGCTGGGAACGCTGGCAATGGCGATGACCTCCTTGAAAGAGATGATCTGGATGGCCGTTATGATGCAGATGATGTATAGGTGGCCCATGACGAGGGCAGCAAAGAAGCCGACGAACATGACGAGGGTCCAGAAGGTGCGCGTCAAGAAGTTTGCCTTCTTCTTTTCGTACTCGGCGCGCTTCTCATCCTCGGGAGACTGGGGCTGCTGGGATGCGGACATTTTGTTAGTAGTGAGATGGCTATGATGGCAGACTTGGTCTGAAATGCGCGGCTTGAGGAGGACGAGACAGAGCCGGAGGAGAGGATCGGGGAGGGGAGGGAGGTACCTCGGAGATGTTTTGCAAAGCAGCGCCGGTCTTGATCTTCGAGGGCGAGCCATCTTCGCTGACGTCGCTGAAGCTGGAGCGGCGGCCGTCCGCGTGGCCGTTGGTCTTGTGGGGGAACTTGACCCCCCTCCTTGTGCGTGCCATCATGTCTTTGTGTGTCTGGTGTCGACTAAAAGTGTCAAGCCGGTAACTAAGGTCTCGGGTCGTGTCGTGGGAAGCGTCGAGGGAGGTGTTCGGTCGCTTTTTCTTTTGGGCGAGGGGCGTTCACGGGCAACGTCGGTTTTCGTCGCAGGAGGCAGGCGGGTGGTTCGGATGCGGGAAGGGTCAGCAGCGGAGAGTCGGCGCAAATTGGGCCGCTGGGGTTACTGGGGAGGGGCGGACGCGGTGATGGTCGCGGTGGTAAAATGCGATAGGTATGTATCGTGGAGAAAAAGTCGACAAGCGAATGTGGCCAGTTCAAAAGTGACGAGGACGGGGTGCGGGTTCTGCGTCACGGGCCGAGAAAGCGAAGGAGTCGGGGGGAAATAATGAGGTAAGGCAGGAGTAGGTAAGAGTGGCTTTGACGACGTGGATGTTTTGTTGAAGGGCACCTCAGGCCAGGGCAGGTATTAGGTAGGTAGCTCAGTGTGGTGGTGCAGGGGAGCTGGGCCATGGAGATGGAGATGGGATGGAGAAATAAGGTGGGTAATTTTGGTGGTACCGGCGGGTGTTGTCAGTGAGTGCCAACACCCAGGTTCTCACTCTTTTTTTTTTTTTCTTAATTTGTTCCTCCGGTGGATTTTTCTCTACCTACGTAAAGCCGAGCGGGCGGACTGACAGCGGGTCGACGGAAGGATTACAAGTGCGCTTTCCTCGCTTGTGATGCCGCTGTGAGTTGGCAATTAGCCTCAAGATATCTTACTATGTACATAAGGTAAGGTAGGTCAAGATAAGGTAAGGTTGGTAGGTATGGCATGACGGATGGCAGCACCGCAAGCCTGCAGCAATCCACTCGATGCTCGAGCAGGCGGGCTGTTTGGTGTTGGCGGATGATGACGCTACAAGTCAGATAGCGCAGAAAAACCTAGCTACGTCAGGTCTGTGGCTTGGCGACTGACGCCCTGGAGCGTGGGAGAGGCGCCCATGGAAGGCAGTGTCGCACACCACGAGGGACTACCGAGCGGAGATTATGTAACCCGCCGCAGGTCGAGATGAGAAAGTCCTCGATCTCGGCCAATCCGCCCACCCAGGCAGGGCTAGTCGAGCAGCGGAATGATGGTGGAATCCGCTCCGATGCGTGGCTGTCATGGACGCTCCCGTCCTTTCATCCCCCTCGTCCACAGACAATTGCTTCAAAACCTGTCCGTCAGTACCTAGGTAAGGTAGGTAGGTAGTACGGGATTCTTCAAGGCTCGGTCCTTCGTAGTCAACCGGAGATTCCATGTACCTTGGCCTCCCGACTCCCCGTGAGCGTGCTGGAATTAAAATACGCTTGCTGCATGTCCGGGAGCGCATGGGATGCCCTGTGGCCCCAAGTACGCGTATCGTTGCAGGGCCCAACCCCTCCACCCGGCTCCCATCCCTCCACTGTGGGAGAGCATCCATCCCTTGCCTACCGAAACTGTTGAGTTGGTCAGCTCTCTCAATTTCGGGGACTGATAGGCTGCAGCGAGCCCCATAATCTGTCAATGCCAGAAATAACCTGCAAAGGAGAGAAGAAAAACACACGTCCAGCGATTGAGATTGTTCCGAGCTGGGTAACGTACCTGCGGACATTGGACATTGGACATTGGACATTGGCGAAACTCGTGCCCAGCTGGCCCTCCAAGATTGGACATCAGGTTCAGGAATCGCCGGGCAATCCGAGACAATGCGTCTTGACGCCAGTTGCGCCGGTTGACATCATCACATGCTGCCCGTAGCTTCATCAACCAACTGCAACTGGTCTGACCAGCTTTTTATCAGCTGAGGCGCGAGCTCCCATTCGTCTCTTGTCATGCAGCTAAAGTCGGCCACACACACTCTACATGTGGATACCTTGGTCATATGTGGCCAGTCATGTGTGGCTGTGTAGCCCAGTCCAGAGTGGCTGTGGCTGATGGCCTCACGGGAAGTCGCGTCGTCCACGTTCACATTCTGTTTCGCGTCGCGGCACAGCTGCTGCCCGCCGCAACATGGACCTGCGGCAGCTCCCGATAAGACATCCACGATAAGAAAACACAAGCCACTATTCAGACCGATCCCAACAGCCAAAGCCAACCCAACACCTTGAGAGTCTCCCTTCCACACCATCGACAATGCGTTTTCGAACGCTCCTCCAACGCAATGGACGACTTCTCGGACGAGGAATTTGATGGATTGAACGACGTCGCCCTCCAAGAGCTCGAAAACAACGCCATCCAACTCACACAGGCCCAGCGCAAGTTTGACGACTCCCAGCCTGCCCAAGGCACCCAGGTCGAAACTTACGATGATATCGAGTTCGAGGATGACGACCTCGATGATACTGAGGTGACCAACCAGCTGCTGCCTCCGGCTGCTCGCCCCCTGCCCGACAAGACGATACCCCAGCACCAAACCCATCTCGCGAGAAGACCTTCGCTCCAGACCCTGCAGAGATGGAATCATCCTCCTGCTCCCGTCAATCAGCCCGCCATTTCTGCCCGACCAAGATATCCTGCACCTGTCCCGTCCTTTGTTCCTCCAGTCGCCTCGCAACGATTCAAGCCTCCCGTTGGCGCACCTCATCGCCCTCAGCCATCCCAATATGCCCGACCTCCCCCTCCTTCGACCCGCTACAACCCCCCGCAATCACAGACTACTGCCCCGGTAGGGCCCGCGGGCAGCGTCGTTGCCGCTCTCCAGCAACAGCTGAAAGCCCTCCAGGCTGATCTGAACGCTGCGCGCGGCGAAGTGACAATCATCCGATCAAACTCCGCCAAAGCCCAACAAGATCACGCTGCCGAGATTGCGCGACTCAAGAAACAAAACGCCGAGCAGGCCGCAAAGCAAGAAAGCGCTGTTGAGGCTGCCATCACGAAAGAAAGACAGGCCACGACCGAGCTGCAGTTTTTGCAGCGCGATTTGAAGGATGCCGCCAGCAGACCACGCCGAAAGGACGCCGCACCACAGGCTCCTGCGCCCGGAACTACAACCCCGAGGAAGACGACCAAGACGTGGGGTATGGCCGATGGGTTCGACGATATGGATATCGCCCCGAGCCCTACCAAAACGAGAGGCAAGACTAGGGATTCTGGCGCAGTGGCTGTTCCGTTGTCGGAACGGACGCCTACTAAAGGCAAACGCAAACGTCCAACCGTTGACAGCCCTGTGATGGCCCTAGAGGTCCACGCGGGCGATGTGCCTATGGCTGACGATGCCACCGTTACGGCGGCGCTGCCTGTTCAGCAATTCGCTTCAGGAATAAGCGTGCTTCCGTTCGAGGTAAGCCTATTCATGCCGCCCGTTGGCACAGCATGCTCACTAACGCCGTTACAGTTTCTCCAGGTCATTCTGGATCATGGTTCGCTGCACGGAGAGCCGCCAACCTTTGACATCCTGTCTCGCTATGCGTTTCCGTCCGATCCGGCGACTTCGTTCTCCGCCTTCATCTTCCGCGAACTGCCTCTGATGGGCAATCCCTCAAACCCTGTCCAGCTCCTGGTGGACTTTGCACGCCTCGTCATTCGCATGTGGGCCCAGTGTCTTGATGAGACCTACTTGCGTCCCGTTTGGGATCTCACTTCCTTGCTCTCCTTCACCCTGCAGCTTCAGACCATGTCAGTGGCTCCCTTAGTGATCGACGACCTGGTTCCTGTCGCTGTGAACTCCATATATATGGTTGCCGAAGCACGGTTCAAGAGAAATGACACGGATGGCTCAACTGAGTCCGCCGCAGAAGCCTTGGAGCAAGATGTTGACTCCACCTACATCTTGTCACTGCTTTACGCCTCTGCCGCCGCCTGCGCCACCGTTGTACAAGATACCGAAAACGGTTCACAAACTCGGCAAGCTGAAATTTGGCAGCTAATCACTGTCGACATGGTGTTAGCATTGCTGACATCTAAGCAGCGGCTGGAGGATGTTGTGGGAATGCTCGACATGCTTTGCACCTCAGTCCTGCCCAACTCCATTGGCCCCATCGTTCCTGGAAAACCGCCCGAGTTCATAGCTCGGATCCTCATCGATAGGGTTTCTATGAATCTTGTCGAATTACCGCGAGCAGCCGTCACCGGCAGCGAGAAACACGCCGTACGATTCGCTGTTCTGCGAACGCTCATGAACTTTGCGCGTTCACCGTTTGGAGCACGACAGATTGCGAGCCACGTCAGTGTTATACCGCGACTGGTCACAACGCTGGGCGAGCTTGTCGACGGCTTGTATGACCTCTCTGATCCTGTTATAGACGGCAAAGGCGGTGGCTCTTGCTCCTGGCGCAAGGACGGGACCGTGGACGCTACCCCAGGTGATCCCCGCGATAAAGCCGACGACTGGGACGATGGCCGCAGCGGTTCTTCCTTGCTGATATCTCAGATCGTGTTGCTGCTGCACACCCTAGCGACCGATCCGAACACGGCCAACGTTGCGAACATCCTCTCGAAACTGTCCGTGTCACACGGCGGCTCCCAGCGTTACATGCTTTCGCTTTCGCGACTCAACTTCTCCGAAGAAGACTTAGTCTATGAGGCGGGCATTGATGCAGACACGGTCGACAGAGCTCACGAACTACTCGAGATTGGCGTCACTCCAGACGAAGGCGACAGCGTAGCAGAGTCATTTGGCGTGTAAAAGTAATTATGAGTTCCATCAGGTCGGGCTGCATCATGTCCATGTCCAGACGAAAGCGACCGTCCGAAATCATTGCGTCTGTTCTTTGGAGCGAAGCATCCGAACTACGTGCGAGCACGGTTCATGTGGCGGTGGTTGCGATAACCATGTGCCATTACCATGGACCTGTCAATACCAAACGGATGCGGAAACGCCACGGTGGCCACGATTCCCATACGCCTTTTTGCCGCATGGTACGAGAGTTGTTGATGGCTGCCGGCCACTTGACAATGCATCAACCTAATGCAGGTATTCAGCGGCTGCGAGTGTGATGGAGGCGCCGAGAGAGGTCGCGGCCAATGAATCACGCTGTGGCGTTGGATGCAGAACCTCATGGG